TCGCTTTCAGTTAATTCTATCTCTCTCTCCAAATCTAGCTCCGTAAGGGTAGGTCATTGTTATCCATCGAACACCATTTATCGTGCAGTCTCGAACAAGCCATGCAAAAGGGAAACGCAGTGTTGGGGATTTAAAAAACAACAACAATAACAACAACAACAACAAATAAATATCGAAGAAAACAAAATAAGTTGACACAAAAGATTGCCAATGTAAAATAAAATAACAACCAAGACGCCCTGCTATAAATCAAGAGAAGTGCCCTCGGCGAGCACCCGGGGGACTGCTGTCGCGGCATCGCCACCACATTCACAAATGCTACAAAGCCGGGTTTTCCCTAACGACTTGCCTCACTTTCTTTTCGTACGCAGCGCGATCTTTCTTGAACAGGGTATATGCTTCAGCTTGGGCAGGCGAATCCGGATTAGGATCGTCTAAAAGGGCTTGGATACCGAGAAGGATCTGTGGAATGGTAATCGCTGGTCTCCAGCCTTCCTCTTCATTGAGGATGGATAGGCAGACGGTGCCGGAGGGGTAGACGTTTGGGTGGAAGAGTGGGGGAACAAATTTGCCTGCGATAAGTTAGTTCTTTCTTGCTTTTGGATTTGGATTTGGTTTTTTTTGGCAAGTTTATTTTTTCCAAAAAAAAATCCTGTCGGTAATACTCCGTCAGAGGTGAGGTGTTTATCCCGTAGAAAGAGGACAGGAGCCTCACAAGTCATGAGGGTTCGACATACACTTTGGTGGCTTGGTAGGGTACTCTATAATAGGTATAAATCAAAAGCAGTTAGCAATCAATTTCTCTAGATTTACCTGCTCACTGTTATGAAATGAAGTGAGTTATGCTAGAGAACATGTTACCTTCAGGAAAGATGACATCCAACTTGAACAAACCCCCCGCCCATATGGTCTTCTCTTTACCAGGAATACCACACTCCCAGTACTTCATGTCCTGCGCGCCCGCTGCATTTCTACGTGGTTTTGCATAGAAGCCGTAGGGGTGGTTTTTTCGCCATTGCTTTCTAGAAGAAGAAATGCGAAAGCACATTCGTCAGTACAGGGCATCTGGGAAAACCTCCAAGATAGGACCGATACTAATAGTTGTGTCTGACTGACCGTTCCTCAGTTAGACGATTTACACAAAGAGACATGGCTGCGAATGAGCGCCCTGCAATACGGGGAAGGAATATGATTGCCGAAAGGAGTTTCGCAGAAGACCGAGAACTGAGTTCGTAACCCAAGGATAAAGTAGATACCGAGAGTTTGGAATCGCGGTTGGTCTATGGCGCAATGGTGGGGATGGCAGCGGTAGTGGTCTGTGTAAGGGAATGTGTAGAAAGAGAACCAAAACGACGGGTGATTAAAAGAAAAGTGGTGTGAGGTTTGTGTTTTTGTGGTCAAGGATGCAAGCTGAACGGAAACAAAGATGTGGTTTTCTTATCAAAATTGGGGATGCCTGTAACGTCATGTGACCCTACAGTGGCCGCCTGGCGGCTGGCGGCTAGCCGGGCCATACATCAAACTTCCCACCACATTACAGAATACATTGATGTAAGACACAGCCCCATGTTCCAGTAAATGGCGCCCCACGAATGATGGGAGACAACTTCCTTGAACAAGAGGAGCGAAACCACCAGCCTGAATCAGTACACTTTACTGTGGAAACCAGGGCGCCATTGTGTCCTAGGTCTGATGCACTATTGCACCAAGCATGGATCATCTTGACAGTGAATTGCAATTCTTGTGGTCCAATAAAGTTAAAGATTGTCATTAAGGGAAGGAAAGGAAAAAGGGGGAGGGGTTCAGAAAAAAAATATTTTTTTTTGGAGATCTACCCCCGGCGGGACTCGAACCCGCAGCCTTCAGATTTACTTTTTCCAACATCTGAAAATAGAAGTCTGACGCCCTACCATTGGGCTACGAGGGCCGGTAACTAGGCTCCGGTTTCCCCGAGAAGAAATTTCAAGCAGCCGGGAGGTGATTTGGCAACTTTAGGGGTGCATAAAGACAGATAGTATAATTCTGTGGGTCACCGGCATCCCCAAAAAAATAATTGTGTTCCTGGAATGATTGTCCTTGACCCGAGGCTCAGCCACTGAGCCCTGGGTACTAGTAACGTGACTCACCACCCAACGAACTCATCCACTCAATGAACTTCAAAAAGCACTCTATAGAGCTGTTAATTTTCAACTGTAGCACAACAATGCAATAAGATATTAATATTATTTATTAAAGATTAAAACTATATATAGAATACATCATATAAATATATATGATTAATTCAGAGAACGATTGCTTGATTTAATAATCCACTCAGAATGTGAAACTCATGATTTTGAAACAGTTGAATCAGATTGCAATGGAGAAGATGTCAAAGAAGAAATTTCAAAAAATTTCACTGAAAAAATCTATATGCAGTATTTATTATAGATAAATGAAAGTTGTATAGAGCTTCTACAGTGTTTGAGCTCATTGTGATGT